CGGCGGCGGGGCCCGGGCGGGCGAGCAAGCGGGCCTCTTGTGCGACCGCAGTCCTCACTTCTTCTGTAGAGAAGATCTGAAATGACCTTCCCGAGTGCCGCAGCCTCGGTTGTAGCTGCCCGAGGGAAGAAGTATAGCGAGGTGTTGCTATACTTCAGTGTATACCTCAGTCAGTGAGCTGAACAACAGCAAAAAAGGTTCTGTATCGCCGGGTCCCAGCCGGGCATTAACATTTCACAGAGGGGAAAAAAAAAGGCAATGGCAATCTTTCTGTAAGCCGGTAAGTGGCAGAATCAGCGTTTGGCTCCAGATATCTTTTATAAACGATGGAACCCAAGGCAGGATACAGCCCTTCAGCGTTTAAAAAACAGATTTCTCTAAAAGAGGGTGCCAGTTATAACATCTCTTTTACCAAACTGAGGAATTCCAGCTCATTTGCTGATTTATGGGCTTAGGGTTTTTTTCTCTTCCTCTTCTAAAGTGAACATCAAGGAATTAAGCAATTAAGCTGTAAAGAGGCTTTTTTTTTTTTTTTTTTTTTTTTACAGAAGTATGGAGGGAAGAATAGATTAGATGGAGGTAAATTCATAGAAAGCTTGAAGCCAAGGATTTATGTTCAAGTCTGCATCCCACAAAGCAGTTTTAACAGGCGTTGTACTGAGGTGTTTATTATAACCCTCTGGTCCAGTGCTTCAAGATCTGCAGTTGAGAGAAGGGCCAGGAAAGATCTGCATAACTAACTCTGTGGTAATGTTTAATTTTCATAGGACCAAGCTTCAGCCTGTCCATCTTCAGGAACAGCATGTGAAGCTGGGCTAGCTGATTTTATCTGGAAAATACAATATGGTCAACTGGAATTTACTTCTGCGCCGTGGTTATTTAATTGGTTAAGGGCAGTTGCTTATTCAGGAACTGTCTCCTTAGGATCTTTCTGTTGAGCAGCCACTGAGACAATAAAAAACTCTGTGTTTTTTTCCTTAGCTGCTAATCTTTGAGTTTCTCCACTCTCAGTTGTGGTCTTATATTAGGAAGTGCTCATAGTTTTGGAATTTAAATTGGTATGCTTTATAATGTAATTTCTAGCTAGAGGAGAAAACACTTTCACTAACACATAAACACATTTGTAAGTGAGCCTGTAATTTGCTTTTTTTCTTGAGATTTTTTTAAAACCAGTGTTTATTTTGTTTCCTTAAATAAGGAGCATTTCGGTGCCCACGGCACTTCCACTTGAGTGGCAGCTTTCACGTGGAAGAGTTGTCACTCTTGTAATGTAAAAACAAGTTCCACACAGCTCTCCTTTGCCTAAAGCTGCAGTAGCATCTGGATGCTCCGTCCTCCCCTGGCTGGAAACAGAAGAGAGCCGAGTTTTCTTCTTCTGCGCATCCTCACAAGGAGCCAAGTGGCAGGCCTTCTGTCGGGGGAGAAGAACCAGAACAGTTTCTGTGTCAGGAGGGGGAAAAGGAGCTAGGTTAGAATTAGTAGGAGCACTGAAACCCAGCTGAAAGATCCCGGTCTGGTCTGCCTGGCAGACAAAATACAGTGCAGCACAATCTTCAGTGCTCATCGCCTCTGGGAACAAGGGGAAAAAGCATCCGAGAGGGCTTTGAAAGGATGTGGCCTTTTTATCTAGCACATAGTGGCCATTCCTTCTGCTTCTGTCTGCGGGCATTGACAGCAACTGATGACAAACAGTCTTTGGGTAGTTACGTGGAGGTAAATAAATACAAAATGTTATGTCTGGTAAATTAACTAGTTGGAAGTATTTAATTTTCAGCTTTTCTACCTCTATGCCTTCATATCTTCCCCTGAAGTGCTGCATGCTTTTCCAGTTATCTGGGAACAATGGCTGTTCATCTCAATTAACAAAAACCAAATCCTAGAGCAATTGCTGACACGGAAAAATGGTTTTATAAAGCATATGAATACTTTTGACTGCTGTAAATGCCTCTCTGTCCTGTTCTTGCTCAGCCACGCTGCTCTGTTACCAGAGTCAGTTTTGTGTTTCTTGCTGGCTCCTTCTGCTCCCTGTGTCTTTTCCTTCAGGCATGCTGCCTCATGCCTCGCTTCCCTGCTTCTCTTGTGTACTTCCAGGGAAGCGTGAAGCCCTCGACAACAATGCCCATTTCCCCACTGCTATGTATCATCAACAACCTTTAGGAAAAGCGCATTTACCCGTACGTTCTCTGTGCTGGAAACCTCAGGCTAGCACTTGGAGCGGAGGACCAGGGTGACCCGTTAGCTCTCTAGCACAGCGCCCGTCTGTCAGACCCCTGCGGAACAGGTTACCCCTTGCGAACGAGTACATTATCCTAACGAATGGGCTGGAATTAGCTACGTAGCATGCGCGCGTTTTGGACAGCTGGTGTGCTGAGTCACTGTGTCCTGCTGCAGCAGTGCTGCTTGAAAATAACCAGCTGGAGTGACCTGCATGTGAAAACCTGACACAGCAGCTGTTTATTATTGCAAACAGATTTTAAGCTGTTTCTTAAGTAAATGGCTTACGAAAATAAGCACCTTATTCCCATTTTGTTTGCGTTTCCATTTATTTTACAAGGCATCGTTCACACAATGATAACAAGGTACTGATCCAAACAATTCTGTAACAATTAAAAAAGTAAACATTTGTTGTGACCATGTACATTGAATTGCACTTTTAATTACAAGCATTACACTTATATTTCCACATTATACTTTATATAATACATGGATTTGTTACACAAGAACTGGCAGTTCTGAATTGTTCTCAGGTAAAAGCCTGCTGTTGCTGTGATGCTCTTTTTGCCTAACTCTTGAGGAAATTACCATCTTTTACGAACTTGGGACACACCCAGATAAAAAATGCAACTCCAGACCTGGAGGACTTCACTGTAATGGAGACAGCGCTTTGAAGCTGCTGTTTTCAATGTGCTGCAGTGAATCCACCCTGAATGGCAGACTCTGAGGGATCCGCGTCTGGATCACGCTTGGTCAGACCCTTTTCTGCATTCATGTGCCATCTTTTCCCAGCTCAGAGAAGTCAGAGGATCTTCTTCCATGGGAAAGCAACGGTTCCCAAAGCTCGAGAGAGCTCCTGGCACAGCTTTTGAAGGTGGCACCAGCAGCAGCGCAAGCCCAGGAATTACTGGAAGGGGGGAATTGGGATCTGGAGAAAAAATCTGAGAACATCTGCTCCTGTTTGCATTGGTAGTACCATCCATGTATTACATAAAATACAAAAATAAGAGAAACTGAAAGGAAATTAGTACAGCCCAGGATTCTGGTGGTATCGAATCACAAATGAAATTTATGATACCAAATCCTTTTGATGTATTTATCCCCTTGTGATTCAGTTTCCTATATATTATTCTATATATAAGATATAGTTTTCCAAAGATACATATATATTCCTTTACAGGTTAAATAAAAGCAAGTCCCACTGAATAAGAAAATAAGAGGAGGTAATGTCCTAATTCTCTACCCATATCTTTTTTTCTTTTTCAGGTAAAAATAGCATGAAATACATTCAGTAGCAAAGCAGTTGGAATCCAGGAGAAATGGAGAGCCCTGTATTCCTGGAGGATAAACCTGTACGTGTTAAGTCACGATCCTGAAATAGATTATGTAGACTTGTGACTTGGGAAAGATAGGGTCTCGATCAATGCTGAGTATTATTCATCCAGTTGCAAATTCGTTGAATTTCCCAAACCCCATCTATGGGTTTGCCCAGTTTTAAAGGCTGCTGTGATGTATGCCTAACCTAACTTCAAAGGTCCAAACTTGAGGGCTTCACTGTGTCTCCCCTTAGTATTATGACTTGGAAGGAGGTAATGGGACAGCTCCCAGTAGGATGTTAGCATAATAGACAGAAAAATAATTTAGTTTAAGCCTCTGTGTTCGCAAGAACAACGCGATGCTGGGCACTGGGTATACACAGCGTTACACGTCTAGCGCAGCCAGCTGTTGGCACAACAGCCCATTCTGCAGGGTTCAGCTCTACCAGAGGCCTGCTTGTCAGCCAGAACAGCCCCTCAGTCCGGAGAGAAGGATCTCTGCCCTGATCTTCACATTCCAACAATAACACATACTAAGGTTTTCTCTCTAGCAGTTGGTGAAAACCAGCATTGTAAGTAAGATAAGAGCATTTCTGTTTTCAATGCCAAAGGTATTTAGGCTTATTAGATTATGCAGAAGTATGCCAATTATCCCTGAGTCTAACAGTAAATCAAGATAAGAGGTGTAGTTCTCCCCCCCCCCACAAGCAGTTTCATGGATTTCACTGCAACTACTTAATAGAAAGAAGGGAACAGCCCTACCTTTATCCTGTGGAGAAAGCATGACTTATGCAGCTTCCGAGTTTTGATGCTTCAGTGCCAGTAAATTCAGATCTTTATTTACTCCTAAATTGACACATTCAGTCAGCAAGTGACATCAGGACTCTGAAGTCAATGGGATACTTCATGCTTTGTCAAGGGGCTGAATTCTTGCTGTTCTTGGCTTTCTTTTTATCTCCTTCTCCCCTTGTAAATGGCTGGGTTTTTTTGAGTTTGTAACACAATGGCACGGATGAAAGCATCTATCTTAAAAGAAATTTCAAGGGCCAACCAAGAGAAGTCCTTTAAAATGTCTAACAAGGAAAAAAAAATTGCTTACCTATGTAAGCAATGTAACTTAGCTGTAGCAAATTACATACTAATTAATGGGCAGGACAAAGATGTGTTTGTCAGCTGGCAGTACTGATTACATGGCTGACTGCCTTTCCTGAGACTGGTTTTACTAAACATTAATGCACATGGACCTCAGGGATTCTGCAATTCCTTGAATTAACACCACGCACGATATTTGCTATTTTATTGTTTTTAATTCTCTCTGGGTACATTTAGAATTTGTGAAACTAAGTGAAATAAGTCCTATTACTTTAGAATATGAAGTCTGAGTCACAAAGATAATACAAGACTAGTTCACAGATGTACCATGTAACTAAATCAGCCTTGCTTCATTTATCCTGTAAAGTGTTACAGTCAAAGTAAAAACAACTTCTTTTTAAAGTGAAAAAAAGTACTTTTTTTTTCGTATTGGGCATCTGAGGAACAGATTAGAATCCAACAAGATAAAACAGTTGTACTAAAAATATTCTTTGGAGGTTTGTCCCTAATCAGAGTAAAGGCTTTATTTCAGACCTACGCATTCTCAATAAAATTAAAAAATAAGATTTAGTTCCACATATATATTTATAAAATTCAGATTACTTTTAATATAAGTTTGATGCGGACACATAGTTTAATACTGACTCAAGAAAAAAATATGAATCACTCCAGACTTAGGAACTATGTTAGCTGTTCCAGTGTCACATGAAAATAACAGTTTCCGTGAGACTTTGATGATGTTTCCTACTGAAAAGCTAAACAAGGAGCCGGCTATCCCCGGCAGATCAGGCAGTCTGGCATACGTGTGCGCGTAGCTCTGTCACACGCTGCTGAAAGGGCTGATTAAAACCCAGATTTGTTTTCTCACAGGAGGCTAAGTTTCCCAATAGCACGTATAGTGAGCAGGCAGAATTTTAGCTTGGCTGGTTTAATCCCACAGTCTTCCTCCTTTCCTTGTTTCTGAATAGAACTACTATGCTTATTCATCACCATAATGCCATAGAGCTATTTTCTTATTCTTTCAGTAGTTTTGAGAAGACACAGTTTCCACATAAATGTTACTCTTCCAAATGCCACTGCTACAAACGCTGCCCTGGATCTACAGATGGAAGGTGAAAATTGCTTACTGCCTTTATGTCATTGCCAAGAGCGATAATGCAGCCATTGCCTTCTGAAGCTTTTTTTTGCTCATGTAAGCCAGCTTCCATCCTACAAAGTTTTGAGATCATCATGGCTAGCAGGTAGCAAACATATTTTTGTCACAGAAACTCAACTTCCAAAGTCAAAGAGCTGCTACAGTGAGAAAGATGATGTTGTGTCAAAGCCAGTTCCATGAAACATGGTGAGGTTATTGAACAGTTCTTTTTTGATGAACTGGGGAAGTCGCACTCCCATGATCCGCTCGCACTCATTGGACCCTTTGAGATGATTTAACTCATTAACTTGGCAAAAGACTAATCAGGGGGAGAAAATCCACCCACATCTTTTTTTAGTTTGTTATTAATCATCTCCAGTAAGTGCCGTAACAGGGACAAGGGACACGACTGTACAACGGGGAGTTAGAGGGGTGACATCTTTGAGCAGCAATGAGTTGTTATGTCAACTCAGCTGCTCAGGGAATAACAGTCTTAACCTTTTTTTTTATTATTACTGCATTTTTCCAATCAAGGTTTTAAAGTATGATTTAAGATAAATGAAATGAGAAATTCGGACACGTCAAACCATCAGTGTCACTCATCGGCACAGTACTCTCAAACGTAACAATCAGATGTTCACCACATATTCTTAAATGTCACTTCAAATTTATTATGCAGTTCATTTCGAGTGTGAAGCGGAACTGGTGAGTGAGTGACTAATGCTAGGTTTAGACAGTCATGAGAATGGAAACGTCTATGCAAATATTATTAGCAAGAAAGTGACCGGAGAATAAGACCTGTGTTAATATTTGCAAAAGAAATTCCTTCTGCTTTTCCCCCGCTTTTTTCTCACTGTATTAACATTTCCAGATAATCACTGTTCTTGCAGGTACATTTTAAAATATCACAATTTTTTAACCCCTTACTCTTGGAGAATTTCGTTGCAGGATAGTTGTGTCAGGACAGTGATTATAGTTTGATCTCAACTTCAGTCAGCTGACTGCCTTTCAGAATCATTCCTTTGGCACAGGTAACACTGAATTTGTACTACCCTGTTTAAAATAATTCACAATTATGCTTGACAACAAAGCACAAGATGGGTATCATTAAATTTTATTGTACAAAACTGACAACATATGGCATTCCTTAGCATTAAAAAAAAAAAAATCAAAACAGAACTAATGTCCCTGGAACAATTTTGTAAATGGAACAATTAATACACAACCTTCAGTCCAGCAATGATATTTACCTGCAAGACCATCTTTAGACATGACAGGTATAATTAAAAAAATATTCCATCAGTTCAAGCGATAGTTTAATTTTCCATGAAATAAGTATTTCTATAAACACTTTATGTTCAGTCAAAACAAATGGTTTTGAATTTTCTTACCTTAAGAGATATAAAACAACCAGACAGGTTTGGGAATCATCAGAGAAGTCTACCCCATGGGAAAGTCTAGATTTTGTATTCCACTTGAAAATGTTTGTTTTTATAAAAATAAGTAATACCAACGTAGCATTTCCTAACCAAACACTTCTAGCAAACAGATCTTGCTTCTGTGATGTTTTATTCATCAGTGCAGCGCAAGCCTTTTGGGTTTTTTATTTGATATCTCATTTCTGTGTCAAATTCAGAATTTGAATATAGACCCAGGGAAAGGTTTTCATTAATTTTATTCATAAAACCTACCCTTTATTGCACAGAATTCACAAAAGGTCGAAACTATGCAAGGTCTTCGCTCTGCTTCTCAGCAAAAACATCAAATAAATGTTCAACAGTTTTCCCTTTATCCCAGTGGAAGGAATTATTTCTTGGAATTCTTAGTACAAACATGAAATAAAAAAGGGAACTAGGTAACTATGTTAAATTCCAGTTCAGCTGTAAATAGCCTTTAAACAACAGTGCTACAGAGAACTGCACTACTTGCATTTCTGAAGAAAAAGCAATCAAAACTAAGAAGTTGTCAGGGAAGCTCATAAACGATTGTGCCAAGAGAGCACAAGAGTATCTTTGCTATGGCCTAAGCTTTACAAAAAGTGCTTCTCTGCAGGACGCAGTCACTGCGATAAACTTCTGAGATGGTCCCAGGGCGTTAAGTTATCCTAGACACCCGCACACACACTAGTACTTATTACACTGTGCTTTCTACGAAGAGATTATGCTTCAGTACTTTACATTTTCCATTCTCTCTCTTCCTCCAGAAGAAGAAAAAACCTTCTATGCAAGATAAAAATAATTTTGAATAATTAGTCATGTATTAAAGACCTAGTTTTGAAGTATTTATTTAACATCTAGTCATATAAAATAAAGTGTAAAAGTATGAAGGTATCAGAACGTGGCTTTCAGCAAGGCAGTTTGGGAAGTAAGAATTCAACATAAAACAGGAATTATTTTTTTTCCCCTTTGAAAAGGGTCACATCAGAATGAATGAAAAACACCGAAGAATTTCACTTCAAGCCTGCACTCCTGCCTTTTGTCCTTTCCCCAAGAGGAGAGACCACTGGAAGAATCCTCCAGGGTTTCAGTTGTGTTGTTCTTTGTGCTCTTGTATCGGGTCTGGCTGGAACTATGTGCTGCCCTCTTTGGGTGGCGGGGGCGGCTGAGGCTGCTGGGGTGGCTGTGTGCCTGTGGCCGTTTTGATAGAGTTCAGGGTTTTGCTAAACCAAGAGTTTTTGGCAGCTTGGATTTCATTCATAAGGGCTCCTCTCTGGTGCTCCAGCTCCTAAGAAAGCAGAATAGTCAGAATTGATCAAAACCCAATTAATTAACAAAAAAGCATCCTCAAACTCAGTCCCTGCAATCCAGCACTTTCCTTGCAACTGGGGAGAGAAGACGGATTGAAATTGAGGAAAGAGCAGAAGATATTTAAATATACAAATGAAAACCTCTTTTCTATTTTTTTTTTTTTAAAGACAGAAAGTCTCTGGAAGTTCACAGGTATGCAGTGGTACAGGTATATGCTCCTTTTTGGAACAATTTTTTGCATGACTCAGAATTATTTTGGACTGAGCAGAAGGTTAAGGAGACCGCCCTGCTGCACTTGGGTTCTACATACCTGAATTTTGCACTTGGCTTCCACAAGCTGCAGTTTGGTCTGTGCAAGTTCCAGCTCCATCTCTCTCAGCTGCTTCTTCAGTGCATCCTTCTCATCATCTGTTTCTATGCCTTTATTCTCCATGCTGACAGCGGGCAGCTTCAGTGCCCCCTCCTTACTGAAAATCTCACTGCAGTGTTTGCAGGCCATCACTTTACCCTGAAATACCCAGAAAGCTCATTTTTAACCCATGTTACAGGAGGAGCTGTGCTTCGTGGAAGAGCCATTTTTATGTTAGACTGCCTTTCTGTCAGTAATACTCAAACTAGTACTGCAGTTTTCATATTTGACATGAAAAGAATTTGGAGAGTTCATGAACAATTTCCAGGCTATATTAACCAGTATAAAAATTCCTAAAATCTACTTAGTGTGCTCTGTCTAAGCACAGAGACTTTGCTCCTCGATTAGAATTACTCAAGCCTTCTTGCTACCAAAGCTTTGTAATATTTTCCAGTATTTATACCAGCACAACTCAGAAGAGCAAATTACACTCTAGGGACTTTTTGTCTTCCATAAAAGCACTTGACCAAATTAACACAGATTTTGACATTTTAAAGAATGCCAGGTAGCTTTTCCGTATTTCCAGAAGCAAGCGAGCAGCCTGTGCTCACTGCGAGGGCCAATGCTGTCCTATTGGTGCTTATCCAGCATCGCAGGAGATGGCCCTTTTTGCCAGGGACGCCTGACACACATCAGTAAGGTTCTTGTGCTACCTGGAGAGGCGAACCAGTTACTCATGGCTGAAGATGCAGCACAGCTGGCCTGGCTCGCACAAACTAAAACGGGATATTGAGCTATTTCAGCAGATCATAGGAACATCAATCCTAGAGTTATTTTTTTTATCAGTTACATAAAAAAGTCACTAAAAAGCAACAAATCAGTTTCAGCTTGAGTACTGAAGGAAAAAACTAGAAGCTATAGCAGGGGGAAAAACAATTCTGCCTGCTCAGTAGTGACGAAGCAGAGGGATGGAATTATTACCTGATCAGGGAACTTTTACTTCTAGTGCAGATGTTCCTGGTAAGGGGGTTCGGAGAAGGGAGAGGAACCGCTATGGAAATTCTGGGGATGGCCCAAGCTGTGCCAATTACTTAAAACAACTCTGCGTAAATTACAGAAACCCAAATATAAACAGTGTCCAGTCTGGCCAGTTCCAACCCCTCCACTGTGCACACTGGAGAAGCAACATGTTTTCTCTTCTAGGGAGCCTTTTTTTTTTTCCCCACTTAAGGAAAACATGCAAGTAAATACTGTCTTTCTACATTTTTTGCCCAAACTATCCATTTCAACAGGAAAAAGAAAAGCCAAGTAAAGTACTATATGCACTTCAGTTTGAGAGTTCCACCCCATCTGGCAGAAGATAAAGAACCGTGAAAGGAAATAAACCCTTTCATTGTTTACGTCTGATGAAAAATGCACGTGGGGCTATCAGGGCAGCTGCGTGGACACCGCTGTCGTTACATTAAACTTCAATTCACTTTTTGTTCTGTATCCCCCCTCATCTAACTTGCGTTAGAAACACCCCACATGTAGAGGCATCATTCTCACCTTCACAACTTCCAGTTCATCTTTACTGGCCGCTTGTTGTTTTTCCAGCCTGGTACTCAGCTGGGAACAAATCTGGAGCAGAGAAAGCAGTCTCTTAGCTGAAGTTTACTACACTAAAATATAACCTGTCCTTTTAACAATGATTTTTGTTAGAGCCAACATTTCTTAAATTCTGCCTTACTCAGGTTTCCACCTTAACAAATCCACTGCTGCTGAGAATGAGACTGAAAAAAAACAGCAGTATTCAATACAGAACCTGAACACTGAGACTGGAACATTTTATGGATGAATTGGTTTATAATGTTTATACTGCAGTATGTCACAGAGTAAAGCAGCACTCACCCTACAATAATAAAATCAGCTGAAAGACAGGTTATTCCTGATTCCCTAAATTAGGAGACTACTAGGAAAACCACGAAAAGATTTATGACAAATTACAATGCTTGCTCTCTGAATGCCTGAAATGTAGTGTATCTTATTTAAAGGATGAGATCTGCAACCCTGAAAATTCCGCTCTCAGAACAGATTGAAAGAAGAAATACGAGAAAGCGTCTCTAGAACAGTACCTGTTTATACTCTGCAATAATGGCTGTGGTTTTCTTGATCTCAGATTCTGCCTTCTCTAGCTGCTTCCTGAAGACTTCCTTCAGCTAGGAATTGAAGGAGAGAAGTTACACAGTACACTGAAAGAAGTTCTCAAAATGCGTCGTCAGATTGTTCTCTCAGAGTCTTGCTGTGCTTACAACAGTTCTACAGCTGCTTCTCACCAAATTCCAGTTCTTCAGACAAGTGTCTGATTTACTCAGTAAACAAATACTTATTATATTCAGTTATAACCGAAAAGTCTGTACTGTGATACAGTGTAGCCCGCTTGGAGAATTCTCCTGTAGGGTAATTCGCTTTCTCTGCGTTAAATGGTGGTACAGCGTGGGCCACAGAACAAAAACAACAGCATTACTATTAAGTGAGTTTTACTGATTTTGTTTTTCTGCACACTGTCAAAGCAGGTCTGGGCAGACAGATTATTTGTTTGTTCGGAGATGGAACAGGAGGAAGAATCTCTCACCACTATCACTCTCGGTAGCAGGAGAAAAAAAAAACTGATTTGGTCTGTGGCGCTGCATTAAAATACAGCTAACTCATTCCTCTGCCATTCAGAACCACTAAATTTTGAGAGCCCTTTCAGTAGGAAAAACGCCTCTGCTGCCTTGTTTATAGCAAACAGACAACTTGGCAACATCCATTTTAGAGAGACACAGAGAATTACCATTTGATTGTTGTAGTCACTGTTGTCAAATGGCAACAATAAAAATCAGGGTACCGCTTTTGAAACATACCTTTGCGTGTGTCAGTATTCATCACATCAGATATGTAGGATTAAAAAACTAAGATTGAACATTTTGCAAACAAGTATAAGGCCAGGTCCAGTCAGCAAAATCCTCCCAACCTTCAGCTCTGTTCTGCTGTTGGTTCTAGCTTCAGACAGGAATGTTCCCAGCTTGATTTCGGTGAACCAGCAGCTGAATTCACAATGGCCTCTTATAAGGCAATAACTCCTCCAGCTCCTTGTTTAGATAATTAAAAGAGGTCTGATCATGTCTCCTTAGTTGTGATTGTTCACCACCAGTGAAAATAATTATTACAATGCTGGGAAGAGGATAAGGTATGGAATACTGAACATTCAGAGCTCAAGTAAAGGAAGACACTGAAAAATGTACTTTTTTAAAAAAAACATTTACCCTGACACTGTAAATTTTGAATTGCGACTGCATTTTGAAGACAAAATCCTTTCCGCAACTGCAACACATTCATGCTTTTCTGCATATCCTTTGCTTGCATTTCCTTGCTAAAAGGGAAAGTTGGAGAATGCCTCACCTGAGCAGTTTCCTCTTCCTGCTTCCGTTTCTCTTCCTCGGTCTCCACTAGCTTCTGTTTGGTCAGGAGAAGTTCCTTGTTCAAAACATCCGCCTTGTCTTCAGCCTAGAATTAGAAACATTGGTGTAAGTCAGACGTTATCTCTGCCAATACAAATGTAGTGGTATATACACTGCGGAAATATTGCAGATTCGGGTTCTAGCATTGCCTTTTCCTGCCTTCTGATGGCTCACCTAACCTATTTTTTACATGAAATTCCCTTTTCAAGTAGCTATTTTCTAAGTTATTTCACTGTGTTTCAACGACTGTGCAAAAGGACCCTTTTGCCAAACGTTTACCTGTGCCTAGATGGCAAGTAAGCATAGAAAGTATGTCCTAATACAAACCTAATACAAACAATGACGTATAGAGTATTTTTGTTGGGAACAATATTAATCTAAGTGAGGGCAGCATGATTTAGCTCCTGTGTAACTTCAGAGAACCCATTCCATTTTTGTATCTGTAAGTGGGGAAACCAGATATTGTAGAAAATGTTAGGTGTCTGCACTGTACGAAGTGTCTGGGCAAAGACATACATTAAAGAGACAAACAGGACCACCAGATAAAATGGTTTGTTTATCAGTGCAAATAAGTATTACCTGGAGAAACTTGGTACTGTGTGTGTACTGGAGAATATGGATTTTCTCCTTTCTTTGAAGGGCCAAGCTTATGATGAAACATACTGGGAATGCTTTGCTTTTGTGAGCGCTATCCTCATTGATCACCAGGAGAGAGATGTATTTCTCAATGTCTGGATATATTCTGTTGAGCTCCCCAACCGGGAGATACGCACTGCATCACACCACTCCTGTTCAGCAACTAGGTGCTAGAACAGGCAATGGTTGTGGTCAAATAATACTTAGTTTACTGAAAATACAAGAGGGAAGATGGCATTGTAAACAACAAATAATGGTACAGAACTTGTCTCCGAGTTGCAGTTTGGTTTTCTGCCACTGCTGGTGGTACTAGCTTATCTATCCGCCAGTGTTAATTATTAATGAGGGTTTTAGTGGCAATTGTGGGTAGCAGAAGCAGCTCCACCAGGGTCATGACTGAAGAGACGGATTGAGGATACCTGCATTGCTTAGCGTGTATATGGCTGTATGGCAGAAAGGAAAACAAGCAGTGAAAGAATGGAAAATTGTTAAAACTGGCATCTTAGAACAAAAGAACTCAGGGATTACAAGGATATTTTTGGTGAAAGACCTGTTTAAGATAGGCTTTGAAGGGAACTACAAATCTTTCCTCCTTTTGTCTCCATTCCAGGTTCCCCAACCACCTGCAGTGGTGTACGGTATCACCTGTCCTTGCAGATGAGGAGTGCAGCAGCACAAAGCTTTTCTTTCAGTGCCAGTGAACTGAGGCAGGGGTGGGAAAACTTCCTGGAGCCACTCTCGTCTACAGAAAGACTGCTAAAATGCAGGAGAGCAAGGAATGGGACTGGCAAAGGTATGTGCTTGGCAGCCTTGTCATGATACACCTTTATGTACAGCTATTCCCAGGAAAGACAGAGCACCTCAACACGTTGCTTTTGGCCTTCACACGAGACTGCCCACTCCATCATGCAAAGCACATCTCTGCCTGTGTTTGCTTACCAAGACAGCTCAGATTTTTAGAATCACATGGATCCAAATCAGGAGAGCCTAACTGTCAAGGATCTGCCTACACAGAAATACAAATTGCACAACAATGTTTACAATTCTGAAGTTAGATAAAGAAAGCCAAGTAACTACGGGAAATCAAACTGAGAAGCCCTTGCAGGAAGATTTTACATTATAAAAGGCACCACAGCCCTCACTGAGCAAGGGGCTAATCACGAGGTGTGGTGGAGTATGGCCCTCCTCTATTTAGTACCTTAATAATAGCTGTTAGGGCATTTATCAATACTACATAAAACACTCCAGAAAGAGGAGGGTTGAATGTGTAGTTGTCTGACAGTCACCTCTGAGATAAAGGGCTCTGAATGCTGCTGCCCTCCACATTCCAGTCTTCACAGGAAACAAAAGCAGTTATCGAAGGACACCCAGCAGCCCTTCTAATTTTTGCTGCCATGCCACTTCATTATCTCTGAAGTTTGTTGGCTGTACTAAAACTGCTGCAAAAAACAGATCCACGTAAGGTGGTAGACATTCTGCAAGGCAACTTCCCTTGAAATTAGTTTTGAGGAGTACGTGATACCTTTTTTACCAAGTAAATATTCCTTCTGTGGTATCTGCCTAAAGGTTACGGCTTACATTTTCTAAATCCACAACAGAGAAGGTGCAGTCAGTGTTGGAAAGACACCACTGTCAACACCTACAGTTGCATGCATGTGGGAATCCAGCTTTCTGACTGCAACTAGGAGCAAGGCTGTCAGGAAAATAAAGGCGCAAATACTTATACTTTTAATGTCGTGTTCACGCTTTCACTTGAGCACAAAGCAGGGCTCCTAAAATTAGTGTTGCTAAGCCTGAGCTGGGACCCCTCTCTGTTAGCATTACCTGGTCCAGGTCATTTCGTAAGGCAATTTTGCTTGTTACAAGCTCATGGGCAAGGTCATCGTTCTCCTGCTCCAGCCGCATACTTGCTTCTTGGAGTCTGCGGTTTTCCCTCTGCAGAAAGAAAGGAACAACCAGAAAAGGAAGTTAATTCTTATCAATATTTAAGAGCAATAAGCGAGTATATTGTGTGTGTAAAACACCAAGAAGGCAAGAGTGCACATTAAGACAGGACTGCTGCTCTGGGAAACAACAGTGAATTAAGCCAGCAGTGCAAATGCAGCGATTCCACTTACATCCCAATGGTTATGTTTGTGTCACATAAGTGACACACTGATTGTAGGGTTTCTCTGTCAAAAGTAAACACAGTCCTCTCCACAAAAGCACTTGGCTTCTGCTTGCTCATCATCGAAATAAATTAGGCAGATAAAATCCCACCCAGCAGCAGTGAACAGGGACCGATTAAGAGATAAGCATAATAACGTTTCTCATCGAAAGCAGAAAGCTGTCCTGCTCCATTTTACAAAATTTTGTCTGCAGGAATCCATAAAAATAGTCCATTTTGTAGATGATGTAGTGCCAACTTCCCATCTTCTGCGGGACCAGTAAAGAACAGCGTTTAGCAGGGAGCTCCCTACAGCTCATATAATCTGTATCACCACTTGTGCACTTTCTCTGTAACTTGCACCAGTGACAAGAGTGCACGCTTTACAGGAGACCTGCTGAGAAAAAGTGCCAGACGGAGAGGGGACCTCACTCCCTGAGCACAGGCCCAGAACCTGCTTGGCGGGCAATGCATGGCAACACAAAATGCAGACCTTCGAGACTGCAGGCCCTGGTCCTCGCTGCGCTGCACTCCCTACCCACTCTGCACAGGCAGAAATGACTACGTAGAGCGCTAACGAGAGAAGGTAAGTACACAGGAGAAGAATGAACAGTAGTAATTCATGTTTTTCAAAAATCAGTTTCAGTGACTGTTCTTCTAGGGCTGAGAAACAGAATCATTTTCAAAAGGTGTCTGTGGGTCAGTGGACTTCCAGGAGTCCACATCAAATACACATCTTCATCTTCAGAAGAACACAGCCAGGTGGGACAGATAGTGGTGCCCTCCTCAAACGGATTATAAGAAAGAAAAAAATGTGCTGGCTTTCAGTCACACAATGACCATGTATCTTTTATACCAAAAGAGACTGCAAAGGCAATCTGTGTACTATGGAAACTCAAGGAAAAATACCGAGTTCATATGGAAATGCATAGGTGGAGGAACAATAACCTACATGCTGAGATTTCAAAAAGGACCTGGGCTCACTTGAAAGGTAAGTCATATTCTTCAAGAAAAAACAGTAAAAGTGAATATATATCAGCACTTAAAACAGCAAAAAATTTCCCAGAGCTGTTCAGTGAACGCCTTCTTACAAAATGCGATTTCTTTGCATAAGCACATTATTCACCTGTCTTCACTTCCTCCTGCTCACCAGCTACACTCAGATGTTTTTTTCTTTCCAAACTCACCACCATGAAACTGCAATTTTCATTTCTCTTGCAAGAAGATTTTGCATGCTTGTCTTAAACAAAAAAGGACAACTACAGCTCTAAGAGGATGCTAAAAAGGTCTCTTCTGTGTGGGAGCTTCCTCTGTGGCAGGAAGCAGAACCTCTGCAAATACTCTCTCCTTAATGCGACCCTATTGTGCAACTAGACTATGCACTGCCCTGTACAGGAAAGTAAGTTTGTTTCCTTTCCAAAAGATCGTACTTTAAATAACTTGTTTTGTTACAGAAACTGTAAAATATTTTTGTTTTAACACAGTTAAAATAACGACTGCTAAAAGACGCATAACTTTGGGGATCTTTTTTATTTCAATTGCACTGTATTCTGTTTGGGACACGGAATTTTAAAAAGTAAAATTCTTCTGTAAGGATAATATAAACTTTGAAGTGTGAAACCAAATTGCAGTCTTTAATAATAATAATAAAAAAGGCTCCAATGTGTCTTTTTTTCTGTATTTTGTTCAGACCATCTTGGAAATGTGGATTTTTACAGACACAGCTCTGCCAGAGAGCAGTTGTCAGAAAGTGACTTGATTTCACCTAAAAACCGGGACCAGATCAGGATGGTATTGCTGCCAGGTGCTGCAGCACCACTACCTTCTCATAGGGATGTTGCTTAGAGGGAGAAATCAGCAAATTCTTAAGACTTCCACAAAATAACCCAGAACGAAGTTTGCTTTAACATTCTTGCTATGCTTTTGCCAAAAGCTTCAGTGTCCGCAAAGCAAGCCGCACAATGTGAAGTTCGAAGTTCCTGCTTTGCATTCGCAGACAAGTGGGTAAGCAAGCTACGTGGTTGGAAATGCGCTATCCTCCTCTTAAACTAGAATTTACATGGCACGTTTTTAGTAAGTTAAAGATCTCTTACCTTGGGCATCCAGTCAATAGCTAAGCTTTATCTCGTTTACTTTTAATTTCCAGCTGAAAGTCTCTTCTAGGGCCACCTTTACTCCTCCTCCACACCGGGCAGTATGTGCGATTAGATGGTTTGACTTTTCCAGCTCCTCCCCCCAGATCTAGCAGTGAAAAACTGCCTCCTTCCTCAGGAGGAAACTCTTAATCTGCTTAAGTCTAAATAAAACCTGACGTTACACAGTAAGAACAAAAATAGCAAATAGCACTTTTCATATGTAGAAAACTATTTTCAATGGCTCTGAAATATTTACAGGGTTTTATAAAATACCATTTTCAATGGCATAAAGTTCAACAGATGGAGCTGGTTTGTTACAGCAGGACTCGCATCGCAGACAGCATTTTGTAACCTGGCATGAGCCAACTCGTCAGACCTGCTAGCTGTCCTTTGTGTAAACAGACAGCTTCCTGCCTCTTCTTTACACGCCACTAACAATTCACTGACTATGACAATGATTTCTTTCTCTTCAGCATTGCTCAGTTTCTACAATCAGTAAAATAAGAGATTCCTCTTTCCCAAACTCCTCCTTCCGGTTACAAAAGGCAGCTGGTGAACTCTGGTTAGCTTTTAAAAGGAGGATACTGCATTTCCAAAAGGGACAAACACTGCTGATACATAACAAACACAAATAAACTTACCTCCTGTAAAGTCACAGACCAAATACTGCTTTCAACCATTGGTGTAAGGACAGTGAAAACAGGATATAAAATAATTTTTAATACCAACAAAGACAGCCAAAAAAAATATGTTGCTGATTCTTCAATGGGTTTTTTGTTCTGAGTTTTAAAGAGGATACACTCCAGCTTCCATCACACACTGGATGGAAAGAAGAAGGCAAATTTGAAAGCAGTAGGCAAAACTCAGCTGAGGAAGACTGAGAGGCTGAACTCCAACCTCTGCTCCCTTCCAGCCAGCACCAAGGAGCAATTTCTGACACGATTAGTGGCGATGATGCATCCTCTCTGTGCTCCTACTCGAGCGGGGTGTAATGAGTCACAAACCTTGTTAAGCAATTCAGCGTCACATTTTCTGATGAGCAAACACCCAAAACCCAGATCTTTGGTGGTGAACAGATCCTCAATAGCGGAATGAAAACACTGATTAAAATTCAGTTTTCTGGATGTGAGCAAACAGAAGTCTTCATAAGCCCATTGGAAAGGGCTCTTGATTGCGGAGGAGCTCTGAAGGAAAACCCTGTGAATCTCCATCTAGAAACCCAAAAGGCTTTTACAGCAAACTCTCCAGGAAAACCTCTCATGGGAAGCAACACAGAGGCTCCTGGAGGTGGTTTGTGTTTTCTGTTTGTTGACTCTGAAGAAGCATGCCCAAAAGTGCCCCAGCACAATTTTTTGAAAAACCACAAACAATGATCCACATCAAGAGTTATCTTACGTTTTTCCTCATGACGGTTACCATTCAGTTACCGTGACTCTGAATAAAAATGACCAGTGTGTTAATTTTTGCTTCCACTCAAACATGCAAAAGGCTATTATGTCCAAATTACACATTTATTCAGAGAGACAACTTCTCCGTTGCACAACAAGGTCCACAGAGGAAAAGGCATTTCTACTCTCAGAACTGTGCGCACAAGCAGGGTCTGCTTGCGAAACTCCACAGCCCTTCTTTGTATGGTTATATCCTCTTTATTTTAAATCAAGAAGTCCCAAGCCCAACTCCAGCAATTTCTCATCAAGTCAACCAAAACCCTGTTACAAGAGATGTTCTCAAACACAGAAAAAACCCCATAATATATAGAAAAATATCAATCTAAACGATATTGCTATTTTTTCTGCACATACAATTCACTCTTCCTCCTGGCTTCTAGGGGCAATCTGTAATTTATTTTAACCGAAAGTCATGAAATTTGGTGACAAACAGCAATTTAGAACATATTTACTTTTGCACCTTTTAAAAATCTATCTGACAAAAATGTGAGTGATAATTTGTTATAAGCAATAGAAAATAAAGTGAAAAGGTGTCCATAAAAAATACACTTTTCCTAAATAATACTTGTAAATACAGAAGGAAACAAACACCAAAAATAATGGCACTCTTTAATACTGTTCTTTTGGTAAGTCAAATCACAGTCAACATGTAAAATACGAGCTGGGCAGGAACTCCTGGGGCATGTAACACAGCTTATTGTAGCACATGAATTTAACCTGTCAAGAAAACGCGACTGGTTAATGGCCGGCCAGACGTTGCAAAAACCAGCCCTTTTCTGGAGCCTACGGAGCGTTTGGGGTCAGTGGGACTGGACACAGCCAGCTGCCCTCAGGCAGGAAGCACCTCTTCCCTGGCGCTTCACAGGTGCTCAGCCCCACCGTTCCTGCGCTTGGGAACCCCTCTAGGACCCGAGCGCTGGGGAGGAGAGAAGAGGCACGCCACGCTCTTACGCTGCTCTGGTTCCGTCCTGGTCTCCCCTGGGTGGGAGTCAGAGCCGCACGCGAGAGCTGCGCCAGCTCCCTCAGTTCCCTCCCCACCGCTCACAGCGCAGCGGGGGTCCCACTGCCGTCCCAGCGGCTGCTCCCGCCCCGGCGCAGCGCACGGCCCATCTCCGGCTCTCTCAACAGTCCATCAAGCCGTTTCCACTGAGGGCCAGGTCACAGGCAGGTGTCTTACTCAAGACATCCTTCATTACTGCAACTCAGAAGTGCCAGTGTCTCTGTGGTCGTGACAAATCTCCGTTGGCAATAAAAACTGTAATAGGCTGCAAACAACAAAAACTCTAACAACTATAACTAAGAACTATCAACAGACTGAAAGCCTGTTTCCTTCTTGACCTATAAGAGGAATATTCTGCAGGGATCTCCACTCCAGCGATCCCATCCAAGCAACATCCCCTGCCTGGGCAGAAAACCAAAAACTCATTTTGTTCTAGGAAGAGAAACTGTAAAAATTACAACAATGTAGGCCTTCAGGGCACAGCCACACAGAGAGCGCATAAGGCCAGAGGGAGCTAACAGCAACACCGCACTCAGAGGCAACACAGGCTTTTCAACAGCGTAGACTCAGCCCTTACCCAAACCAAGCCCAGCTGGGCAAAGTCTAGCACTGATGCTGCCAAAACAAAATGCATTTCTGAACACATGGGCTGCAGAGCGACCATTTAAGGGACAAGCAAAGCTGGCTCTCCACTTTCTGCCTGCAAGGATCCACACAGTTTGCGTTTCTTGCTGCCCTTTGGAAACACTCTTGAAATGTCGATTCCAACCAACCTCAGCTTGACACATTAATAAACTCAAACAAGCAAGACAAGGAACAGAGAGCACTTACAAGCATTTCTCCATGACACCCATCAGCTGAAGAATGCGTCCGAACTTTGAACTTAATGTGCAACTAACTGGTTACAGGGACTCTCTCTAATCACAGCATCACTAAGAGGATCGGACCCAATCCGGCTTAATACAAAAAAAATCACACAGTGAGTTGCAAAAGTGCAAGCCAAATCCCTGGGCTGTGATCTTGACTATGATAGCGACTCACGTAAACAGTGGCCAAAGTCACTTTCTATACGCTCATTTGCAGCTTGAGGATAATGTTCTTCACTGTCTATCGCCTAAGATTAACTAGTTAATATACTTCCACAGAGCTTTAATGAAACCTTTTTTGTTTTCTAAGTATTATTTTAATTCCACAGTACTATAAGTGAACCACTGGAAAAATATGTAGTCAGCAGCAAGTTGTTTTCTTTTTCTACATAGGTCATACTCACTGTCGGCTCTCGGCTGCTACAGCAGTCCCAGTTCTCACAAACACTAAAATCTACACCCTTTGACATCAAAAGAACTATACTCAAAACATAATTTTTCACAGGTAAATATTAAAAAAAAAAAGTCGGTTTTACTTCACCTGTACCTGTCTCGTCACATTTATGAATTATGGCATAGCCTTTCACTACAGATTTTCACACTGTGGTTTTCTGAACATGGTGCACTTCCCTTACGTTCACAGGCCACATAAGCCTGTTGCACCCTGTAGGATTGTTGACTACTCCACACTCCTGGTAGACTTCGTACTAACTGCAATGTCACTTAACATATTAAGGCACAATGAAGAACAGCAGGAAAACAGTACAGGTATATATGTAAGCAATGTCAATTCCCAGCTAACCCGGGCAATGGGCAGTAAAGTGCTTCATCTCTGGCAGCTTCACCTAAAGAAAACTGAATTTTTCAAAAGAGGGTAAGCAATAAATGGATCCTAAACACTAAGTAAAGTATATGCCTAGAGGGAGAGCCTCCATCACACAAAAATCTACGGCAACAGAATGCAGCAGTGACAATAAAAGCAAATACATTGGAAAGATAAGCAATGCTGATCCACAATTAAAAAACTATTCTTTTTTGGTGAACTATCAAGCTATCATTAATAACTGAACCTTTATTTCTCTGCTGCTTTAAAGCAGGATATTTATCACTATTAATTCTATCGCAGTAGTACCCTGGGACTCCAGGAGAGCTCTCGGTCCCACCGTACTAGGCATTATATTAACAAAAAATTACTAACACTTGGTATAAACAGAGATGAATAACAAGAATCGTATCAGTCAAGGAAGAGTTCATCTTCCAAAAGTCTCTGTGGATGCCACTGCACACAGCTTGTGCTAGAGCAATGTGTATTTTCTCCTTTTTGTGTCTGTAGCTGAGAATCACCCTTTGTTTCTGCGTCTCATGAAGATCTCCCGTAAAAGTGCAACAGCAGGAGAGTTACCTACAAACATATAAACTGAAAGAAGAAAAATATTATATGTGGCTACTTGCAGATGTCTTGAGAGTTACAAATTGTGATTGAAATATTCCTGGAAAAAACGCTAAGTCCAAGTGTTGCAAAGTGCTTGTTCAAGAAAGGGGATGAGTTTCACCTGCCACTTAACTTCCCTAAGATCTGCTTCGGCATCTCCCAGAGAGGTGAGCGCAGTACACGCACCTCTGCTTAACCGCTGGAACCGGGTCATTCCCCACGGGATTTAGCCAGGTAACATCTCCCGTACCTTGTATCTGTCCATAGGGTCCTCCTGCTGCAGCTGACTCTCTCGCATTGTTTGGTACTCTCTCTCATATTTCTTCAGCTTTTTTGTTGGCACCTGTGGAACACATTTGGAAAACAGGCATTGAAAGATCAGAGGAACACCGGAAAGGCTGTCTGAAAGCTCTCCTTGCAAACAGGAAGCCAAGGAAGTGCTGGAAAGCCGCCCCCCCCTGTCCCCCCCCCCCCCCCCCCCAGCAAGCCATGTCAAACACTTACCAATACAGTTCACATCGACAGAAGTCTTTCTGTGCCTACTGTTGTTAATTATCCAAATATTTAAAGGAAAACAAGAGTGAAGTAGAGACATTTTAATAACAGTAAGAAGAAGGAAAAAAGCGTGAACAACAGGAGTGAGAGAACAGGGAAGTGGAAAACATGCTTTCATAGGTATGATTCAACAAAACAATGCCTGGGCAAGAAAACTGTTAAAAGTGAGATTAGAAGAAAGGAGTGTGCATGCAAAAGGACTGGACAATTCCCTGGGGGAGATCAGAGTAATGTTTTTTATTGCTGAAAGAGTATTAATGTCTAAATTATAGCTCGTGACGGATGCCCTCATGAAGTCTGGCATCAGACTCCTCCTAGGCAAAGGTGCAGACGCTGCAGTGCCCGCTTCCAGCCGCAGCAGGGAAATAGTGAGGCGACTACATAGAAATCACCAGCAAATTCGGCAAACAACCATGCAGAAAGGTCAAGTCCCAGACAGCTTGATTTCTGGGAAATCACAGCTTCAACTTAAAACAAGGTACACAAAGAACACCTGTATTTTTTTAAACACAGCATGGAGATCCTCTGCTTTACTTTTACCTTTTAATTGGGTATACCGTGCTATATGAGCGATCCCATCTCTCTCTGGAGACCTTTAATAGCATTACTCTGTCCCCACCGTACAACAAGAAGCCGGCCCTGCTAAGTGTCAGGTCATCTGCTGGCAGCTGGAGAGATCCCTAACGCCGTGTACCATCATGACTTGTAAACGTACGCTTTTCCTGGATCTGTTGTGTATACATCTGTTCCTCTGGCCTATATCGATCGTGTCTAGCTGACTCCTGGTGCGAGGACATGCCACTGTCACCTTGCCTTAGGGCAAAAAATTACTGCCAATGAGCAGAGATACATGTTTACATGTAGTTTTGCTCTTGTTTTCCTTTTATTGGTTTTCAGCCCAATACCTCCTTCCTCTGCAGTACAGGAAGGCACCAAGCAAGTGCTCAGTGTCGCTGCAGAGGCCTCTCAGAGGTACAGGTAGAAAATGTGAAAACCCATGATCTGCAAAGCACAGTACACGGGGAGCACTAATAAAGCAGCACCAATAAAGCAGCACCAATGCCCACAATTACTGATGAAATCTTAAACCAACCCCCCTAAAGAAAGCAAAGAGAAAAGGGTAAACATAAAACCACGAAGCACTTTGGACAAACGCACAAGAGAATTTTACTTTGATGATACTTAATAGCGCAAAACACAATGAAATGAAAATGATTAAATCAGAGGTGCTTGTATACGTTTCAACTGAGCAACATTCCAGATGCAAACCCAGCCTGTTTTGTCTTAGCTGCAACTTGAAACTGTTGAGGCTACTTGATATTCAAGAATAAGAAGTCATTTCCAAGTAGTATTCTAAATGAAGTGAACCAATCACACATCCGACGCCTAATCTATTCCCTCTTTCCACCATTCTTACTGTGATCTTATGCAGAGAAGCAGATCAAGGCTTCCACCCTCCAAACCTAGGTCTCCTGTGCTGTTGTGGAGTTTTGTGCTCCAATACGCTACCAGCACAAAATGAAGATAAATATGAGGGAGACATTGTGGCGCAGTATGGCAAAAAGGTGCAACATAGGGGTAACTATAGGTGTTCAACCAAAGATCATCCTGATTTTTGATGCTTTTCGCTAAGACTGGATAAAGCCTTTAAAGTACACATGAGAAGTAAGTCTCACTGCACAGAGAAGGGACAAACCTCCCATCCGCACAGCCACGTGAATACCTCCCCGCCACCATTTCCCCCACGTTTACGTGAGCGGTGCCGTATGCAGCCCAGCCCGGCGCCGGGTGTCAGGGACTGCCTCCACTCACCACCGCAGTGACCCACCAACGGCTTCGCCTTTACAGCTGCCTGGAGCAGCACCTCCCTTTTCGCTTCAACCACGAGATTTGCTTAAATTACTTGTGAACAAAAATCGTAGTTCTCTCTCTAATCCAGAAGACACAGGCAAAATACAGCATAAAGGTAATGACCTGAGTAAGTAACTCTTACCAAGAGAGCAAAAGGGATATAAAGCAAATGGGATATGACCCAGCTGCCTATGCTGGGCACTGTGCCACAGCCATCCCTCACCAGCCTGAGCCTGTGGATGAAGAGACGACTGCTGCTTCTTCTAAGACAACCTCACATGCAGCAGCCAGCAACGTGCAGCTCTCCTTGCTTGTTTTTTAAATGTTCCTTTTTAAAGCTGCCTGACAACAGCCTTATTTCTCTGGTTTCACCTTGTATTGAGACAAGGCAGAATTTAACTTGCACAGAGTCTATCTGGCACTTAATCATCTGCCTCGACAACACCAGAAACTAATCTGAATACGTTACATCAAAACCCGTATGATGAGCAGGGGAGAACGAGAGTCAGCTGCTTCGTTTAACTCTGCTCTCCACTGTCTTCACAGTCCCTGCTTCCACTCGCTGACAATTCACCACCATTTCCTAATGCACGGTCACTCTTCCCACCAACCATTCTTATCTATACGTTCTCCTTTACTCTCTTAAATTTTAATTCACAGCTGTGAGCAGGACCACACATGGGTCCTCTGTGGCTTTATGGAGGGTAAGGTACCTCTTGCAGCAGTACAGGGGCTATCCATGGCCGTGGCCTGGGACGAAGGGTGGGCCACGTGCCTGGCATGCTCTCCAGCAAGCAAACAGCATGGCAACGCTTTCTTAGCAATGTTAACAGTAAATAATACGTGAAACAGGGATCAAATCATGAAAGGTGTAAGCATCATGTTTGTGGCACAGAAAACAGCTTCCGTGCTCGTTGAAAGAGTATCCTGACTTACACATGTTAGTATGTATTTCTTAATTGGAAAGTAGTGCCTAAATACAGTGAAAGTCCATTTTAAGGATCTGGGGATGGGGAAATTCCTATTAGAAAACCAGTCCATACTAATCCACTTGCCCCATAAAATACAAACTTGAGCAGGTACGCTTAATAACTTTGGCAGGGACAATGCTTCGCTGTTATTGTCTATTCAGCCACATTACTCAAAGGAGCTTCATAATTTATTACAGCACTTTCTTCTTCTGGGTATACACTAATAAACTAAAAAAAAATTTAAAAGCCCATTTCCATATTCCCCAATTTAATTCCCTGAAACAGTTTGTGAATTCAACAAGGGACTTCTCTGTAAGCCTTTTCATAAGTAAGTTCATAGTGCTAGCTATGCTTCAATCTTCATGGACTGCTCCTGAACAAAGTGTGCTCATAAATCTTCTGTAAAAGCTTCTGCAATATTGATTTCTTCTTTCTTTAGCACCATGGGGTATATTGGCTAGAACTGATGGTTATCAAATTTAGGAGACTGTTGCAGTTTATAAACATTGCTCATCTGTTTATCTCAGTATCTTATCTCCTTGACTCATTTTATTTTATTGTGTTCAAGCATAAAATCACGTCACAACTAGTCGTACGTACAGAAAAAGCCACGCAGAGCATCTTAATAAAACATCCACGGAGAAAAACTGAACAAGCAAAACCTCTTTCTGAAAAAAACCCAACAGACTACTGCATTGAACACTCGAAGGACTCGCCGCAGTGAGGTGATACGTGGCAGGTGAGAAACAAAAATACTTTGTTTTTAGCTGCCCCCCTGTTCAGACAGGGCTGGAAAGATCTGCTTCTCTGGCAATCCTGCGCACAGGCAGCATGCTGAGCATTGGCATCCACTCAGCTGCAGGAGACCTTTCCCTCATTCTGCAATTTCTTTAGCTGTTTACAGCCAGTTCAGTCTGACCTTGCTGGATTAATAAATCACACATCTATGACTCCTTCCTCCAAAATGTTTTATTGCTCTAATGAAGCATGAGCACTCAGAGGAGGTAGTTATCATTATGTTCATTTGACAGCCAAGGAAATGGAAGCAGAGATGTAAAGTGATTTCCTGAACATATTGAAGACAGCCAGAGGCTGATGCAGACAGAAAAATCCTATTACCTGATTTCTAATTTCCAGCACTGCCACAATGCCAGACTCAGCAGAGTATCTCTTCCCAGAGCCCCACTTCTTTTCTCTATCTAGCACTGCATAAACACTCCAGAAATACGTCATCCCATCACACTAACAATGTAGCCAATATTCTGTGATCTCTGCACTCTTAATATTTTTCCTCTCTAGTTCTCACCTCAGTGTGGAAAGAAGAAAATCAAGAAAAAAAAAAAGAAAAAAGCCAATTAACAAAATGTGCAATGCTTTTCCATTCTTTGAAGGAGGTGACTTCATTTTCTGTTTCACTGGCGATGGATTTGCTTGGTATTTCAAGATTAAGGTGGGGAACTTGCATCCCTGCAAAGATAGGGTTACACTGTGTGCTGATGACTGATGTGGGAGACCCTGAGCTTGCTTTGGGCGAGCACTGATAGCAACCACAGACACTGGCTGCAGCCCAGCTTCCCTTTTATCCACCCATCACACACATCTCGGGCTGTGATCCCCGTGATAAGCCCAGATGCTTCTCGCTGCTGCAAAGCAGGACCATTTCCAAGCCCACGTGATGCCTGGGGGCCCGGCTCAGAGGCGATGGGACCAGCCGGAGCTCACTCAAACCTGGCTCAGACCCTGCACACAGCCGTGAGTCCTGGCTGCAAGTGGCTCTCACAAACCACCGTTACGTGTGCCCCTCTCGAGGAGATCCGAGTTACACGTGTGCGTACTTAATTTTCTTCACGTTATGATTTAAAACAATATTAAAAGCAAGTTAATATCGAAATGACATTTGGTTCTCCAAAGTGTGTCATATGAAGACTGCAAGCTTTAAACAGAACCTCAGACAGCAGAATAGCGA